CATTGCGCTGCCAATGTGAGAACCAACATGTATACTGAGGTACGTGTAAACATTGAACCACCAAAATGTTATACCTATCATAATCAAACAGATCAGGGCAACCTCCTGGATGAAGCAGAACCATGTGGAATTGTCATTTATAAGCTGAAATATCAGCAATTTTTTTTATGATTCAGCCTGATTTTGTAAGACTGTTGTAGTTTTCTTAGGTCTCAATAGACTTAATAGTCTCTGCTTCAAGGTGTTTTAAAAGATTGTGTTTCTCTGAAAGGACCAACTTGTATAGTTGCTGTTTTTCATTATTCTACATGGGGCCAATGTCAAGGGATAATGGCATCGAATTAGTTAACAAAAGTATCCTTCTGTATATCATGACTGCCTTGGTAATGTGTCTCTGGAACCAGAATAATTCCCCATCTATATTTTCAGCTCAGCTAGTGAAACAAATGCATAGTAGGAGAGTACCTTTTATCCAGGACTTAAGTAGAAAGGATTACTGCCAAAATTGGGCCATATGTACTTAGATTATAATTGTAATATGTGAACATCCTTTGACTAGCAACTTAATTCCTTGGCTTTTCCATTTGATTCAAAAGACTACAGAGTTGATACGTATTTCTGCAGCAAATAGAGTAAAATCGGGTTGTATGTAGGCACTGCATTAGAATGCACCGTTTGTGTCCTGGTGAAAGTTGGCAAGAACAGACTCCGCATTGCGCTGCCAATGTGAGAACCAAGCTTTTTGAAATTCTAGAACTAGAGGGGTGGGATAGTCTTTAATTCCACATACACCAAAAATATAAACAAGAGATGAATAATATGTTGATGTAACTTAATTAGTTATATTTTGTGTTGATTATTTTTCACAAATGAAGTTGCTAGGTAGATACTGTCTTCTGTTTATTTGGGGCAAAACTGTGCAGTTAAGTTTACATATATTGTTCACATCCTGGAGGGTGAATAATTAAAATAGCACTTAATTTTGTGTGTATGCAATATATTTTGGGTATATGTTGTGCAATTAAGATTCCACATATAAGTTGAATGGCAATTTACAGACCCCACCGTCTGTCTGGACATCTTCATTTGCATCATCCATTCTTGCCATTGATTGTGTCTGATTTGTACTTCAATCCACTTTGCCATTTCCAACTTTATATAAATCTCTAATGTTACGGGATACATAATAGATTGACACATAATTTTTAAAGCCTATATTTGTAAAATTTCTCTATTGTGAATAAAGTCTTTTAATATATCTCCTAATTTGTTCTGTGTTTTTATTTTATATAAGCTTCTGGATATCCAAAAGTGAATACCTGCTGGTGCAAATGGAATTAATAACTCCTTTCGGCGTTTCCATACCACACTTCGAGATTCTTAACCAGGAAACATTTCCCACTAAAAACTTTAAGCTGCAAATGTTGTGCATTTGGTTAATCACATACCTTCTATGAAGAATCTAGCAGCTGTTAAGCACGAGGGCATGCAGAATAGAAGTAGGGGGTGGGGGTTGGTGTCACAAATAGCATGAAGTATGATCCCGGTTTTTAAGTGTGCAATGCAATCAAGGAGATTAGACTAACAGCACAGATGAAAGCATTTTGTTGTGCTAAATTACAAGTTACATTCGGCTAAAGAGTGCTGGCGACCTGGAGACCAGTAGATGTGGAGTAGTCAAGAGATGCATAGTCGGAAAAAAAAGAAAGCTATAGGAGAACTTACACTATTTCTGATTTAAAAACCTAGCTTTTAAAACTTCATGTACTTTGAGGAATAGTTCAGGGACTATGGATGCTGTTCCCTCTACCTGGAACTGTGTTTCTCCCAGAATTTTATAGTTAATTTCTCACTTTGCTCAGGAGCCAGCTCAATTGTCATCCTATCAGAGTGGTTTCCTCTTTCAAGTCGTGTGATTTCCCAGCATCCTTTTTACCTTTCTTAGAGGGTCATTCTGGGTCGGAATCGACTCCCAGGCAGTGGCTGAATTGATTTCTCACGGAGCGTTTGTCAGATAGGATGGTGCCGGTGCAACGGGGTTTGCTTGGCTTTGCAGAAACCGACCCCCTGAGCTTGAAGGTAAACAAGCGGCCATCTAGCTGAGAAGCAACAAAGCCCACATGGAACAACATATCAACCTGTGTGATCACGAGGTGTCGAACGGATCACTGAAGATAAATGGGTGCATAAGCAAATGTGGCGAAGAAAGCTGATGGTGCCTGGCTATCAAAAAGTATAGCGTCTGGGGTCTTAAAGGCTTGAAGGTAATCAAGCGGCCATCAAGCTCAGAAGCAACAAAGCCCACATGGAAGAAGCACACCAGCCTATGCAACCATGAGGTGTCGAAGGGATCAGGTGCAAGGCATCATTAGAACAAAAAATTTTTCCCTTGTTGATTGTTGGGGGGAGTGCGGAGTGGAGATCCAAAGCCCATTAGTAGGCCACTGGAGATCCCCTTGCAGAGGGGTCTCGGGGAGGAGATGAGCCAGTCAGGGTGCGATGTAACAATGATGAGAAATACAACTTTCCTCTAGTTCCTAAATGTTTCCTCCCCGCTCCCACTACCATGACTCGAATTCTATCTTGCAAGACTCTCTAGGCCAGAGGAGGTACACTGGTACAGATAGGAACTGAAAATACAGGGAATCCAGGACGGATGAGCCCTATAGGACCAGTGGCGTGAGTGGCAAAACAGGGAGGGTAAAGGGAGAATGGGTAGGAAAGAGGGAACCGATTACATGGAACTGTGTGTGACCTCCTCCCTGGGGAACAGACAACCGAAAAGTGGATGAAGGGAGACGTCGGACAGGGCAAGATATGACAAAATACCCATTTATAAACTATCAAGGGCTCATGCGGGAGGGGGGAGTGGGGAGGGAGGGGAAAAATGAGGACCTAATGTCGGGGGTTTGAGTGGAGAGAAAATGTTTTGAGAAACAATGTACAAATGCGTTTTACACAATTGATGTGTGTATGGATTGTGATAACAGTTGTATGAGCCCCTAATAAAATGTTTAAAAAAAAAAAAGAAAGAAACCGACCCCCTGGTGGGTCTCCACTCCTGCACCAGTGGGGCTCGCCGTATGGCATATGGAGTTCCTTACTTTCTTGTCTGCCGACCTCCTTCCAACGGGAGCTCCAGGAGAGCTTCAGCCATCTGTTTCTATCTCAATACTCCAGCGCCAATGCCGAGAACAGCATCTAGCACCGATAGCACAAGTGGATGGCGGGTGAAAGAGTGAATTCGAGAAAATGGAATACCACTTTATATTCCTAGACTTGGCCACAACTGTTTGCAAATAAGCAGTACATTCTTTTAAAAGATCAAATACTTGTGTTGTATAAGGATCTTGTTTCTATCAAATCATAATAAAAGTGAATATTTTTATGACCTCCACTAGTAGTCCCAAGGGATTATGAAGTAAATTTGTATGGGTGATTGTAATCAATGGCTTATCAATAGATTTTTTAAACTACTTGAATGATTAAGGTACAGATAGAATGGCCCCTAATTCCTCCAACAGTGGTTTTTAGTGTTACAATTTAAATAGGTTTCCATGTTTTCTATGATTTAATTTCACAGTCCATGTCTTACATAAAGGAACTATTTCAACAACATGAAGCAAAGGCAGTGGCTTCTCCCCTTACAAATTTACCCAAATGAGCACTTTCTGAATCCAACCAGTTTTTCAGTATCTGACACTGGTTACACCTGCCCTGCTGGTGACAGGATTACTAGCAATTGACCATGCTTATTATTTAGACTATTCACCACCCACAGAGTGAGGTCAACTTGGTAAGTCATACATCTGATTTCTGAGAACTGTGCCTATGGTGCTCTGGTGGTGATGGTACTAGTATACGCGTTGGGCTGCTCCATAGAAACCCTGTGTAGAATCGCTATGCGTCAGAATGGACTCGGTGATTGCGGGGTTATACATATGTAGACAGTGGGTTAAAATTTTTGGCAAAATCTTTTTTTCATTTAGCCTTAAAATTCAAAAATCTACAATTGTCCTTTGGCATTTGCCAAGAAACCATTCCAGTGGGGCTCAGATCCCTTATAAAAATGGTGTCAATTTTGCATTTAACCTCCACTCATCTTCCCTCCCATATACTTTAAATCATCTCTAGATTATTTACACTACTTCCAGTACTTTAGCACAATGTAAATGGCATACAAACACCACTTTAAATTCCCTCTTAGCCTTTGAAGGATTGCTCTGACCACTTAATTGCTTCCCCCACTCGACCCCCTACCCCCCAATATTTTCAG